ACAAAAAAACCCAAACAAAAACACGCCCCTGCCAAAAAACAAACAAAAACAACAAACGAACAAAAAAAAACAAAAACCATCCAGCCTGATTCTCTGGATTTAGTTACCAAACTTTAGCTATCTCCTGCAGGCCTCTTCTCCCACTGGGTGAATTCTTTCCAGAACCTTCATTTGGGAGATGAGGCCCAGATCAGCCATCTCTGATTCTCTGTATTTAGCCACCATGCCTCAGCTGCCTTCTGACTCCACTCCCAAAGGTTCCTTCTCTCACTGGCAACGTCTTCATAAAACTTCCATTTTGAGAAAGAGCCCCAGGTCAGCCATCGTTCATTCTTCAGACTTAGCGACTACGTCCCTGACCAGGTATCTTCTCCCCTACACCCACTCCTTGCTCACTCACTTTTCAGTTCCTGTTTTAGGTGTTATCTTCCCCTGTTAAAATGTAAGCTTCTTGAGGGCTAGGACTATGCCGATAGCCTTTATAGCAATAGAGAAGTAAGGAAGAAAGGAGGGTATGAGGTGGTGAAGATGGTGAGTTGTTTTGGACTTAAAGAATCTGAGATGTTTACAGAACATCCAGTTTGAGCTCTCCTAGAGGCAGCTGGTATGTGAGACTGGAGCTCAAAAGAGAAGTCAGGTCTGACTATACAGATCTAGGAACCATCAATAAATGTTACAAATAACCTATAATTATCATGAGAGAGGATAATTCAATGCATAACTCTTCTTAAAAGAGGTAGAAGGTAGACTATTTCAGGAGGAAAGAGCTTCCTGAGTCTCAAGGAATGATGTTATAGACACAGAGGCACCACTAGGAAAGAGTTTATTAAATGTCAGAAAATGAAGAGACCAGGAGCGGTGGTTGGTAATTGCCTGGCAATGAGTACTGATGAAGCTATTTGTTGTCCTGACATACATACAGCAGAGTTGGTCTGCCATCTCCCTCCTGCTTGTATCTGGAGTTTGAACGACAAGCTCTGGGATTTGTCAAAACCTGATGATCACTACCCATTCCTAGAGATTCCTATGGAGATAATAAATGTCACCATGAGTAGGTGGGCAGTGGATGGAATGCTGAGCTTGGAGTCATGAAAACTCATCTTTCTGAATTCATATCTGGTCTCAGACACTTACTAGCTGTGAGACCCTGGGCAAGTCATTTAGAAATGTTAGAAAGAAATGGCAAACCACTCCGATATCTTTGCCAAGAAGACCCCAAATGGGGATCATGAAGAGTTGGGCACTGCTAAATAATATGAAGTAATAGTATAAAAAAGACAAAGACCTTAGGAGCACAAGTGGTATTTTCATTACTTTTGCCAACTGAAGGCAGGAGATTCAGAAGAGAAAGGAAAATGTCCTCTTTTATTTATGCTACTTGCAGTAATCTTATAATTTAGGCCACTTGTTTATAGATCAGGACGATATCACACAAGAGTTTACTCTGATCTAAGCAAAGCATTATGCAGTGTCTAATGTTATCCCTAGGGACAGTTAGTACATGGTACATTATATGTACTATGAAATATGATTCACATTTTATTGGTATAGGTCATATTCGTTATAATCACATTTTATTACCGTAACACTGCATGGGGTGGAGGGTTAGACTAGATGATTTTTAATGTTTCTTACAGTTCTGACGCCCTGTGATCCTAAGGCTTCCCAAATATTCATTCCCCACCTCTTGTTTCCCAATGGTACATCATATCATGTCTTTCTATCTCCCACTGGTTTTGTTCTTTAGGCAAAATGACATCCTTGGTCACATTCACGTTAATCCCCCACACTAAAATCTAAGTGGTACTATTCACTAAGGCATCAGCACAGAAACAAAAATTGAGAAACAAATCACAGTTGGTTTCCTGCATCACCTTGGCCTCTTCAATCTGCAGCTATCTCGGCAAAATGAGTTCATTTTTCACATTTACTGCACTGTTTCGAATTTTTATACTCTGCAGCTTCTAATGTTTGAAATGAGTTACTGCCAACCACATTTAATGATACTACACTGATGCTATGACCTCAGTCTTCCCAACACTTAATTCAGGGATAAATAAAAAACAGGAGCATTTTTCATTTTAACAATTCCTTTTGTCCCAGAGGAACATAAAACACTTTGCTAAATGTTTCTCACAGTACCCACAACTTGAATACTCTTACTTTTAAAATCAATGTTGAAAAAAAGACACTTCATGGTAGGTGGCAAAGATAGGTTCTATGGCTAATAGAAAGTGTCAGAGGGATTTGCTGGGACATTCAGTATCTGTATCTGCTCAAAATTTCTATCATATTGGTCCCAAATGCATTTCCCCCCAAAATCAGGGAGGAAAAAATACGAATTGGCCTATGAATAGTATTATTTTTTAATGCAAACTCATTATTATCTATTTTTCCTAAGTGATCTCATTTTAGGGTAAGAATAGGGATGGGACCTTGATCTGTTATTTCAATGATATAAAGACGAGAACCAATGAAGGTCAGCCCCTTCTCTGCAATTTATAGTTTTAGAGAGTTGCCTAGAATATCGAGAGGTTAAATGTGTTGCCCAAGGTCACAGAACTAGTATGTGGCAAAGGCTGGCCTTAAACCCAGGGCTTCCTGGCTCTCAGGTCAGTTCTCTAGACACTATGCCACACTATCTCCCATTTTAAGAGTACCATTGACAGTGGGGGTAATACAGCATAGGCCTGAATCAAAAATCTTAGACATAATTCCTGTGTCACCAATAGCAACAACACAAAATCAAAAGTCTAGGCTATCTCAGGATCAAATAACTTAGTTCATGTCATAAAAGCTATTATTATTACAATGTGCTAAAATTATGACATTTGAGCAACCTATCACACAATTCTGATATGTACTAAGCCAAATTAAATATACTCTGTGCTTGATAATGGAAGCAATGAAAATGCTGAAACATATAAGGCCTGATATACAACTGCAAAATTCACTGAATCTCACAAACAGTGCTTTCTTTCTCGGTAACGTAGGGAACACTGGTCCGCTGTCTTTCACCTGTATACGTTCATCTGTTTTTCTAGTAGTAGTGATGGGTTATGCTGAGCCATCATATTGCAGAAAAAAAACTCAACTTACAGTCAACAGAATTTGTAACAAATCCCGGGTGACACTCATTAACTGTGGTCCAGCCAATTTAGAAAGCAATTTTGAATTCTGCCCTCAAAGTTACTAAACAATATCGACCTTCTGACTTAGTGACCCCACTGCTAGATATGTACATACTCCAAAGAGAAGAAAGAGAAAAATGAAAATTTATAGCAGCTCCTTTTTGTAGTAGCAAAAAAGGAAAAAACTAAAAGGGTATCCATCAATTGGAGAATGGCTGGACCAATTAGGATATATAAATGTAATGAAATACTGTTGTTTCACAAGAAATAATGAAAGAAAAACCTGGGAGGACTTGTATGAACAGAAAGAGAGTGAAGCAAGCAATTTGTACAGTAACAACAACTCTGAAAAAAATGTCCAGGAGATCAGTGATGAAACATACTACTCACCTCCTGAGGTTACGGACTCAGGGGGCAGAATGAGATATATATATTTTTGAACAAAGTCAATGAAGGAATTTGTATTACCTGATTGAGCATATTTGTTATAGGGGTTTTACTTTTATTTCTTTTTTCTTTATTTTCCAATGGTGGGATGGAAGGAAGTAGAGGAAGAAGGGAAAGAAAATAGAAGCCTTTTAACTAAATATACAAATAGATAGATAGACAGATTTTTTTAAATGACATTAACTAAAAACATGGGAAAATCATTTAATTTCCCAGAGCCTCAGATTCCCCATATGTAAAATGAGACTAATAGTACCAACATTCTACCTATCTCACAGGGCTGTTGTGACTTGTATAATCTATTCACTACTAAATGGTAAGAAACTGCATTTAACAAGTAAACGATACCAAGTTACAGTTCACCACTTGTTATTTACCATTTAGAGAAGACAAAGACTCAAACTGAAGAATAAAATGTACTTTTTTTTGGCATATCCAATGGGGAAATCTGTTTTGCTTGACTATGTATGTATGTGTGTGTATATATGTATATGTGTGTGTGTACATATATGTGTGTGTGCGTGTGTGTGTGTATACACACACACACACACACACACATATATAAACAGGTTTTTTTTCTTTTTCCTCAATCTGTAGGGTAAGGAAAGAGAGGAGGATGGGATGGGGTTGCTCTTCCTCCTAAAGAAAGAAAACATCATCAAAGCATGTTTTTGAAATGCCTGGAACATTCTCCCCCCTCCACTTTGCCTATTGCTCTCCCTAGCTTCCTTTAACTAAAATCCTTTGATTTACTGGAAGCCCTCTCCAACCCCTCTAAATACTGGTGTCTTCTCTCTCTTAATTACTCCCTATTCATCCGCTATACAGCTTGCTTTGTATATATTTGTCTGTATGTCGATTATAAGCTCCTTGAGAGTAAGGACTGTCTTTTGCCTCCTCTTCTTGTATCCCCAGAGCTTAGTACAATGCTTGGCACATTGCTGCTTAAAAATATTGACTGATTGACTGAAGGAGTCACAGACCAGCAGAAGAGCTTTGAAAGTTACATGATGAATTTATATTTTGTTGGGTTTTAAAGCAAGCTATATATAATAGATTCAAAATTTCATATTCCTCTCTCTTCTACTGTGTGTAGGGAAGTGTTCATTTTAGTTAATGTTTTTTAAGTTAAGAATTTTTTTTAAAGCACAAACAGGAGCTCAGATTCTTTTTTGTCTTAACTATTTATGAGAAATAAACAGCCACGGGCAAGTTTCATCTCTAAGGTCTCAGTCTCATCATCTCTAAGGTCTCAGTTTCATCATCTCATCAACATATGGATGACAGTAGTTACAATACTCACCCCAAATGGTTGTTGGGAAGACCAAATAAGATATTCAAAATGGTAAAAATAAATGTAAGTTATCATTTACACATATTTCAGAAGATACAGTCACTGCCAAGAGGTAAAAGGAAACATACCCTTGAGTTTTTTGGTGCCAATCAGCCTGAATAAGATTGGAAGTATGGATAACAACTCGAAGGCCTTCTTCATATAACAGCAGCATCATTTTCCTTTAAAAAAAAAAAACAACAGGAGTATGGATGGATAGTCAGAGGTACCTTCAGAAACATACAGGGTTCTGGTAATCCCAACCCAGACTAAGGATTTGATAATTAAGAGTAGACAAAGAATCTCTACTGAATCATAGACTGAAATTCTAATAGCATTCATTATCATTTCAATTCTTCCTCTATTCTATAACATGGAACACAGTGAAATGATGAGTAAAAGATACATAAACTTACCAAGAATGTTAATAAAGCAATTTTTCAGAGTGGAATTGTTACCTGATATCGTCCACCAGAAAAAGCCCAAATGATTCAACCTAGAATTAAGATCATCCCAAAATAGACCTGTCCTAGTTGATTACCCATTATTCCTTAATGGGAATTCTTAACTTCAGTACAGCCAATCTCTTTTCTGTCCCTCCCACCTACCATTTTAATTTCCATCTCCTTAGCAAAGGCTTGTTATTTTTTTCCCCCTGTACACAAATGTCCTTTTCTTTCCTTTCTACCAGCCCAAACTCCATATTTCCTTCAAGAGGTAGCTCCAAAAACCAACACCTCCCTGAAGTATTCCTTATAATCCCACCCAACAAAGCTTCTGTTATTTGATTTCTAAGAGTATTTGGTCTGGACTGCATAATCTGACACTTCAATCAATCAGTCAATGTTTATTAAGTGCCTACTAAGTGATAGGAATATAAGCAGCATCTTATAAGCCTCAGTATTAAGCTATTAAAGCTTAAAAGTATATTCAGACACTTGTAGGACACCCTATATTATTTCCTAATTGTTTGACATAGTCAAGATTTTTCTCTCCCTAGCTAGAGTGTATAAAAATTCTCCAAGAGGGCACCTGCCATTAACCTAATATTTAGTTGTAGTTTTTGATACATAGCCTGACACTGGCTTATACAGTGTCACATATTTTTTTTCCTAATTGATGGAACATAAGTCTTTCAAGGTCAAGAATCAAGTCATTAACTTAATAACCAGCTTTTATATAACACTTAAAGGATTGCAAAGAGCTTCAAATGTTATCTTACTTGATCCCCACAACAACCCAGTGATGAAGATACTATTATTATCCACATTTTATAGAGAGAGAGCATTAAGCGACTTACTGAATGTCAATGGAACTAGTGTTTGAGAAAGGATTTGAACTCAGATCTCACTGCCTCTAAGTCCAAAGCTCTATCCACTATATAACCTAGTTACCTCTTTTATAGATACTAAAGTGTGGAGCCCAACATTACTGATGTGACTCTACACACAAATGATATAATCCAATTCAACAAACATTACCTGAGCACCCATATAATATATGTTAAATACTGTCCTAAGCACAACAAGGGGCAGGTAGGTGGCAGAGTGAATACAGTTCTGGGCCTGGAGTCAGGAAGACTTATCTTCCTGAGTTCAAATCTGGCCTCAGGCACTTACTTACTAGCTGTGTGACCCTGGGCAAGTCACTTCACCCTGTTTGCCTTAGTTTCCTCATCTGTAAAATGAGCTGGAGAAGGAAATGGCAAACCATGACAGTAACTGCCAAAAAAATGCAGAAATGGGGTCACCAAGAGTCAGACACAACTGAACAGACCAAACCACAACAAAAAGCACAATAAAGAAGACAGAATGTCCCTGACCTTAATAAATTTATAATCCAGCTTGAGGGAATAAAATATGCACTTACACAACAATAATAAAAAATAATGCAATGGCTGAAAAGGGACATGGCAAAGCATTGTAAATATTCATTGGGAAAGTAAGAGACACAGCTGCCTTTAAGAAGGATCTGGGAAGACTACAAGGACAAGGTGGGATTTGGGCTGGCATCGCAAAGTGTAGAGGTAGAATTTCAAAGAAAGGTGTGGAAGAAGGGCACAGAGAATACCCTAAACTGAAGAGTATGGGAGGGGACGCCCAGCATGTGTTCAAGAAATGGCAAGTATGAAAACTTCCCAATGCAACGGAAGGCTCACTCTGAGAGGATGACGTGCCCAAGATCACAAAAGAAAGAATTAACATATATGTGAATTTCATTCAAGCTGCTCAGCACTAAACTAGTATATAGCTAAAAGAATTACGGCTTTTTTATTTGTCATCTTTCAATGTATGAAAGGTGGTCATTGAAAACTAGGCCAATTTATATGCAGAGCCATGAATTTATCAACTAAAATGAACAAGCTAACGCTAGACACAGGATACAAATTTGCCAAATATCTGCATCCACCAAGGTCAGTGAACTCTGACCATAGGAAACACAAAATAATTTAAGGGCAAACAGTTTATCATTCTGTTTTTAACAAATAAAATACGATGTGTGAGTAAGCTAAAGGCCACATCTTAGATGGGGCTTCCTCTTAGTAATGTAAATCCAGAAATGATTCTAATATTATGACTATAGGGTTCAGAGCCAGACGGGTCCATCAAGATCCACTCCACCATTTTACAGATGAGGAAACTGAGAAAAAAAATCACAGTATGATCACTTACTTTCAGATTTCTTGCGAGGAACATTTAAATTTAAACATTTAAATGAGATAATATGAAAAAAGTAACCTGCAAATCTTAAATGTCAGCTGTTATTATTTTCATAGTTTTTTTCATTTTTTTTTTCTGGAGAAGCAGAATGGCATAGATTGGATACAAAACTAGACTTGAAGAAAGTTTGTTATTCAGTTGTTTTTTCAGTTATGTCTAACTCTTCATGACCCCATTTGGGGTTTTCCTGGCAAAGATATTGGAGTGATTTGCCATTTCCTTCTCCAACTCATTTTACAGATGAGAAAAATAAGGCAAATAGGCTTAAGTGACTTGCCCAGGGTCACACAGCTAGTAAGTATCTGAGGCTACATTTGAACTCAGGCCTTCCTGACTCCAGGTGTGGCACTCTATCCATCATGCCACCTAGGTGCCCTGTAAGCCATATCAATGAAAGGCAGCATTGCATGAACTGAATACAGCAGTGGACTTGAAGGAAAACATGCATTCAAATCCCCACTTAGACATTTAATAATTATTACCTTGCCAAGTCACTTAATCTCTCTGAGCCTCAGTTTCTTCATCTATAAAATAGGGATATTAACATCTACCTCAAAGGGTTACTATATGGATTAAATGAAGTAATCCATATTGGTATGTTAAACAGAAGCAGCTCAGGGTCACAGCATTTAGAACCTTTTCAATATATCACAGGGATAACACGGTAACTCAGTGATCTGGAAGAGTGGACAAGAAAAAGAAACCATTCTGGGTTAGCAATTTATAACTTATGTGACCTCAAATGGGTTACTTATTAATTATAATAAGAAGAGTACCTTATACTTATGTGTAAACTTGGCAAAACTTGAGTTCAAATCCTGTCTTTGACAATGATGAGCTGTGTGACCCTACGTAATTCATTTAACCTCTCTCGCCTCAGTTTCCTCACCTGCAAAACAAAGAGGTTGGATTTGATGGCCTCTAAGGGCCCTTCCAGGTCTAAATCTCAGTGCTTTGCAAATCTTTAAAAAACATATAAGTGTAAGCTACCACTATTATTAATATTAATAAGTAACCTGTTTGAGGTCACAGACGTTATAAATTGCCAACACAGAATGGTTTCTTTTCCTTGTCTACTCTTCTAGAACACTAACTTATCCTTGTTACCCATGAGGTCTATGAAAAACAACCCTAGACTAAGAAACTAGACACTTAGAATCTACAGCTATCTGTGTGACCTTGAGAAAATCAATTCTGCTATCTAGGCCCATTTCCTCATAGGAGAGCTATTAAATTAGCTGATCTCCATCTTTTCTCATAGCTCCAGAATTCTATGATCCATTAGGCAGTATATTTCTCAAAAGCCAGTAGAACTCCTAAAAAAAAATCTGAACATACTATCATGAAGCAATGCCAGTAATGATGATGATGATGACAACAATAACATTTATATAGCATTTCTGCTGTTCAGTTGTGTCCAACTCTATGTGACCCTATGGGCTTTTGTCCAGGGGGTTTTCTTGGCAAAGACATTGAAGTGGTTTGCCACTGCTTTCTTCAGTGTGTCCCCATTTTACAGATTAGGACATGAATCAGATACGGGTTAAGTGACTTGCCCAGAATCACACAGCTTAAGGTTGGTAAAAAATGCCTTACAAACATTATCTAATTTTATCCCCACAACAGTCCTTCAAGGTAGGTGTTATTATTGCCATTTTATGGGTGAGGAAACTGAGGCAGCCAGGTTAAGTGACTTGCCCAGGGTTACACAGCTGACAAAGCATCTGAGGTCAGATTTGAATTCAAAGTCTTCCTGGCTCGAGTGCTGTCTATCACCAAGCTATTTAGCTATTTGTGATCATTTAGCATTGGTATGCCCATGTGCCATCACTGAAAACAGCTTCCCACAGGACCTCTGGTCTATCATTTGTACGTTATTTACCCTGAGAGGTAAGAGATTTGGACTAAAAGATGATAGAGGCCAGAAGGGCCTTGTCATTGCAGCTAATGCTTCTGCATGTAAGAGGCATTCTATCCACTGTGCCACCCCTACAATCACACCTCAATTTTAACTGTACAACTTTCTTTCCTCATCTACACTTCAAACACAAAGAGGCATCTTGGAAGCTAGTCCTGAAAGGCTGTAAGGATTTCTAAAAACTTTTGCTGAAATAAGTCAGCTAGGTGGCACGGTAGATAGAGCGCCAAGCCTGGAGTCCGAAACACCTGAGTTCAAATCCATCCTCAGACACTGACTAGCTGTGTGACCCCTGGCAAATCACTTAATCCTGTTTGCCTTAGCTTTCTCATATGTAATGAGCTAGAGAAGGAAAGGCAGATCACTCCAGTATCTTTGCCAAGAAAACCACAAATGAGGTTATAAAGAGTCAGATACACCTGAAAACCACTAAAGAATAACAATCCAATTCTACCATGAAATTCTCACAAGAGGGGGGAAATGGACATAGAAAAGAAGGATCATTTTAACCGAGGTTTGACAACAGACAAGGCTGAAGCTCTCTCCATAGAGAAACTTGGAAAAGCAGTAGGCTGGAATTTAAAAATCAGTGAAATGGCCTAGAAGACAAATAATGAAACACAATCTCCTGCCCTTTCTGTTGTGAGGCAGTAGGCCCTCAGACATAAAATACTGTGCATATCTTCCACTGTGGCCACTGTACTGAATTTTCTTTTTTTTTCGCAAGTGCTTTTCTTTGTCACAAGGGGGTTAGTCTCAGGTGGTAGGTGAGCACATAAAATTGAAACTAATTGTGACATATACAGTCCAAAAGCACGGGTAAAATCTAATTTTTTTAAAAAAAAATAAGACAGGCATTACACTGGGAATCCAAAGACCCAGGTTCTAAGCCAACTCTGGTATTAACAAATTCGGTGATTCTGGGGACGTCATTTAATCTCCTCATGTGTAAATTAAGAGGGGGTGACAACATGATTTCTAACCTTCCTTGCAGCTCTGGAGTTATTTACAGGAGACTGATACGCTCTGATTGTCAATTTAGGGGCAAAGATACTCCACCAGAACAGGCAACGGAAGGATATGACACTCCCAAACACACAAAGGCACTTCTAGGCCATCGTTAAACCAAAAGTTATTTTACCTCAGGTTATTTTCTAATTGTTTAACATGCATATACTTTCTTCCTCCAATAAGAGAGACCCTTCTTGAGGGTAGGGACTAAACTTTTGATCAGTACTTCTCAAATGTGTTAGATTCAGGACCTTTTTGTACCATTAAAAATTACTGAGGACCCCCTTCTCCCAAAGATCTTTTGTTAATATGGGTCATATCTATTGATATTAAAAATTATTATGAAAATAGTTTTGACTTCAGGGACTTCCTAAAAGGATCTATGATACCCATTTTCATTACTGATCATCTTGGGGGTACCCAGAACACACTTTGAGAACTGCTGATTTAGATCAAGGGTTCTTTCTTAATCCCTTTAGCAGTCTGGTAAAACCTATGGAATTCTTCCCAGAAAAATGTTTTTAAGTGCACAAAATAAAATATGTAAGATTACAAAGGAAACCGATTATGCTGAAATAGTTACCAAAATATTTTAAAAAGCAAATTCTTGGACTCCAGGTTAAGAACCCTGGCTTTAGATATTAGTTGTACCTGTTCCCTGGCCCCTACGACTCTCTGCAAAGCACCACGCACAGTGCTGAGCACAGAGCAGGAACTTTTACACTTTGGGGAGAAAAAGGCCTCAACAATGATGTCCCCTCCTATCAAAGCCTTAGCATCATAACTTTTAAAGTACTAGGTGGCACAGTGGGCAGAGTGCTGGGCCTGGAATCAGGAAGACTCCTCTTCCTGTGTTCAAATGTGGCCTCAGACACCTATTAGCTGTGTGACCCTGGGCAAGTCACTTAACCCTGTTGAGCTCGGTTTCCTCATCTGTAAAATGAGCTGGAGAAGGAAATGGCAAACCACTCCTGTACCTCTGCCAAGAAAAACTCAAATGGGGTCATGAAGGGTCAGACATGACTGAAATGACTCAACAACAAGTACCTAGCTATGAAAGGAGCAATAATTAAACTGATTTAAAAACTCTTTGCATTTTGGAAAACATTGCTTTATGCTCCACGTAAAAAAAAATTAATGAGAAACTCAAACTTTTGTTGAAATGGATTTTTAGCTACAGTCAAATGGGAAAATGTAATTAAAACCTATATTAATAATGTTGAGAAAGTAAAATTAAAGGAAAAATACAAGATCTAGTACCACAGAGTTCTGGTGATCACTTTTAATGAGAGCTAATGCAGTGCTGCTACATTTCTTTCCGACACCTAAGAAATCAAATGTAGGCTGAATGGGTGGGTAACTTTTACATGTGCCTTTGCCCACTCCAGAGCCACTTTAAAACAAGTTAGCAAAAGGTAAGTCTAGAATCACATTTTATAAAAATAACTGATATTTCTATCACTTTAAGCTTACAAAGTGCTTTATATACACTACTGCCCCAGGGATGTAGCTGCTATCATAAGCCTCATTTTACAGAAGAGGAAATTGAAGCTCAGAAAGCTAGGACTTCTCAAGGTGAAAATTTGTTAGTATCTGAGTTAGCAAGAGTTAGTGTCTAGGGAAGGAATAAAATCCCAGGGCTCCCAGACTCCAGGTTAAGCACCCTATCCATTATGCCAAGTTACCTCTCACAGGTGTCTCAAAATTACACTCATCCCTTTCACATCGAGACTTTCCCCATTGGGGTTTCAATATATTGCAGGTCAGCATAAGTAATTAAATGGGAATTTGTGGGGGGGGAGGTTTCATGAAAGCTGCAGGCAATATGCGAAGGCCAGCAGATGACACAGAGTCTATGACCAAATACTTAACCCAAATTTTACAATAAGGTATTATAAACACCCGATAAAAGAAAAAGAAAAAATTCAGAATTCTTCTCTGGTATAAAGGGAGAGCCAAAAAATTTTATGTGGATTTTCCAGATTGCATGGGTGCTGCGTCCCTAACCCCTGAGTGATGTGGAAGGGTGAACTGTAAAAGAAATCCTAGAAGTCATAGGGTCAAACCTATACATGAGCTCACATATCCAGCAACTCCAAGTGGTACCTTGTGCTCACCTAAATGAAGAACTCAATTCCTCAATCCCATTTTACTCCACCCCCCCCCATCCCAAAGAAGCTCAGTTCACTTCAGGGAAGCAGTAACTTTTAGGAAGTTCTTTCTTATATCAAGCCAAAATTGCCTCCCTATAAATCCACCCATTGTTTCTAGATCTACCATCTAGTGCCAAGCAACACAAGTCTAGTATCTCCACAATGCTCTTTCAAATACCTACACACAGTTAGCACTTGCCCCCGAACCTCATGATCCACATAGATTTCTTCTTTTCTTTAATTTGAAATTAAATAGAAAGCCTAACATAAATATTTCAAGTCAAAGGACATTTAAAAAAAAATCAAACTTTACACAGGAAGGTGCTTAATATGAATTTGATGAATCAGTGAAAATGTCCATTATAGCGGACAACAGATAATGATACATACTTTCACTGTTTTGTTGTTGTTCAATAATTTTTCAGTCATGTCCAACTCTTCATAACCCCATTTGGGGTTTTCATGGCAAAGATACTGGAGTGGTTTGCCATTTCCTTCTCCAGCTCATTTCACAGATGAGGAAACTGAGGCAAACAGGGTTAAGTGACTTGCCCAGGGTCACACAACTAGTAAGTGTCTGAGGCCAGATCTGAACTCAGGAAAATGAGTCCTTCTGACTCCAGGCCTGGCACTCTGTGCACTATGGCATCACCTTGCTGCCCACACTTCAATGTACATGGTTCCATTGTTAACTTAGAAAAAAATCCTAAAGGAAAATCGCGAGGAAAATACCCATTTTCTTTACTGACACACAGCAAGCCTGAGGCATTTTTGTTTAAGATCCTTAATGATGGCATATCTTGATCTTTTGAAACGGATTTGATTTTTGGGAATGGACAAAAATTACTTGGAGCCAAGTCTGATAAAAAAGGTTGACTAAGCTGAGCAATGCTGTTTGCAATCAAAATCAATATATGGCTTGAAAGTAATGAGAATGTGTTTCTTCTGCAGCTCATAAACTGACTCTGGAGGCAAAGTCCAAATAGTAGTCCAGACATTTAAGCAATGGCAGCCAGTCTGGAATAAGTACACAGCACCTTAAGGGGACTTCTTTGAGTGGGGCAAATTTACATTTCAGCATGTAAATTCCAGCTATTTATTATCAGAAATAATCATGTTTATTTATCATGGGTCACAACCTAACTTTAAGTTTTTCTGTTCAACAAAAACAGCACTTTTCATAAACAAGTTTGGTAAATACCATCCTCAATATTAAATGACTCCTAAAAGAAATCAGTACTCACTGTTACCTGACTCCAAAAACACATCTGAAATAAGCATAAGGCCAAAAGAACCACACAGAGTGTCCCCAAAATCTTAGTGTGGTTCTAAGCTTTGACAGCTTATCAATTAAGCTATTAAAATAGCCAATAAAGTAGCCAGCCACATTGGACCATGTGCATAATAACAGATTATTATTTAAGTTAGTAAAGCTTAAAACTTAAAAAATAAGCTACAATAACGCTTTTGGCAGACCTTCTATTACTACATTAAATAACACATGTATGTAAGTATTCCTATATCTCTTCACATGTACTATATAAAAAATATTTTATATTAAATGTTTTAAATTTAATAATATTAAACATATTATATATGTACTTTATATTACATATATGCATATACATATTAACATATACACTACATATTATATATACATATGCATATATAGATATAGATCTATATTTTCTAATAGAGAAATCAGAGTTCTCAAAGAGAACTGATTTGGAGTTAGAATACTTAGATTCCAATCCACACTCTGCTACATACCACCCATGTGACTCTGAAAAAGTTAATTAATTTTTCTTGACCTCAGTTTATCCATCTGCAAATTGGGAGCACTGAACTAGATTGGTCACTAATGTTCCTTACATCTGTAAAACCCATGTTTCTACAGGATCATATGTAGGTGGAAGGGATAGTTTTAAAGCCAGCTACCTTTATAAAAAATAAGGACATGAATACATGTCTGACCTTCCATACTACTTTTCAATTTCTTTAAGCAAGATATTCCACAAATTTAAAATTATTCTAAACACATCACTGTTAAGGTAAATGAAATCCATTTTTCTTCATTTCCAAAAAATTACTTACGTATGATGAGTTCCAAATGCAATATCCAACTTGGCCTAGGATAAAAAAAAATGACCTTAATCATTTAAGAAATGCATTTCCACTCAAAACATCACACAATCCAACTGAAACTGAGTTTGAAAACGTTTGGACCTCCATTTTTTTCAATGTATCATCTGCCCTCTAGTGGAGAAAAGCTTGGGCAGCAAGAAAGCCTTTTTGTGGCAGAACTCACAGACTTTTCACTTTAACAGTAAATTTTAAAAGTTAGGCAGGATGATTCTATATTATTGCATTTCAAATGACCATATTTAGAAATTAGCTTGTGTCATTAGAGTGTTAAGAAATACTAACATGGGGAAGAGACAAGGAATTATTTAAAACCCAGCTAGCGGGCATTAAAAAAATTAAGTCACAAAAGTTTTTAGAGCCAATTCATAACACTACCTAGTTGGAACAGGCCTTAGTGGTTAGCTAGTCTAACATGTACCTAAACAGAAAATGGGTTTAAAATAAAAATAAAACATTCTAGTGGTAGAATATCTACTACTTCCAAGGAAACACTTTAATTATAAGAAAGTCTATCATTATGAAAAACTCTATCTTCCATTACAATTCATCCATTGCTCCCAGTGTGTCCTCTGGGGCCGAGCAGAATAAATATAATTTTTTTTAAATAAGACCGTCTTTGTAATAGTTGAAGAGAGCCACCATACATCCATCCTATCCCTACCACTTCCCCAAGTTTTCTCTTCTCCAAGATAAATATCTCCAGGTCCTTCAACCAATTTAAAGGTGTCCTGTTTCTTCACAATATGGGTCCCTATCTTCTATGGGGCTCTAGACCAGTGTCTCCAAACTTATGGGACTGCACACTACAGCAGTAAAAAAATTTTGTGTGCACATCACTAATATATATATTTGCTTATTTATAAACTATATGCAAGGCCTTAGATACTAATTATATGTATCGTAAAACATATGCAAGGCCTTAGGTACTAATCATGTATGTTATAAACTACATACTAATCCTTAGGTATTAATTATATATATTATTATATATTATACATATTATAAAACATAAAAATATTAAAAGCTTGAAATTAAGATGAAATAATACTTGATTCTAAAGTCAAAAGAGTCACTAGAGTTCACTGTGTAGGGGCATAACATGGACAAATCTAGATTGTAAAACACTTTGGCAGCTGTGGGGGAGGATGGACTGGAAGGGGGTAAGATTTGAAATAGGAAGACTAATTATAGGAGGATATTGCAAAAGATCAGGTGAGAGGTGAAGAGGGCCTTTATCAAAAAAGGTACGTCTTTGTGAACAACAAGTTATTCAACAAGTTATGGTATACGCTCGTGATGAAATACTACTGTGTGATAAAAAATGATGGGCTCAATGGTTTTAGAAAAACATGGAAAGACTTGCACAAAATAATCAGGAGCGAAATAAGCAAAACTAAGAGAACATTGTATACGTTAACAGCAATATTGTTTTATGAACAACTTTGAGCGAATAAGTTATTTTGAGTATTACAAATACAGAAATTAACTATAAAGGACATATGAAGAAAGACACTATCTGCATCCAGATTACTAGAAGCACGGATAGAATAATTTTACATATCTATATTCTTATTTGTGCCTAATGGTAGCCATCTCTAGGGCTGGGGGGAAGAAAAAGACAAGGAAAAAAAGAAATTTATATGATAATTTTATTGTATATTTGAAAGGAGTAGCAAGTTATGCACAGTAGATTTGCAGTTTCATGTGCAATCATCCTTTTTATTATAAAATGCTTGTTTTATTCCATAAACTAAAATTAAAATAAAATTTTTTAAAAAGGTATGCCTTCGTGAACCAATTGGTCAGAGAACAAATATTACTTAACTATTAAGTGCATATTGTGCATAAGGTAACATATTGGGTACCAATGATGAAAAAAAAAACACACAGCTCCTTACTTCAAGGAATTTATAATCTAACTGGAGGGTAAAACAGATACTCAAATAGGTATGACACATTGTAAACTGTGATACGGACTACAATGAAAAATATAAAATACTATGATAAAATATGAGGCAAGCTGTATTAGCTCAGGAAAGGCTTCAAGGAGGAAGAGAGAAGTGATCTGAGCCTCGAAAGAAGAGAATTTCAATAGGTGAAGATGTGGAGGGAATGCGTTCTAGGAAGCCAAGATTGCATGGACATATAAAGGCAGGAGAAGACAGAATGAGACTGTGATGAACCTAATCAGTCCAGTCTGGCTGAAACAAAAGGTGCATAAAAAGGGGTGCTAGATAAAATAAGACATAAAAAGGAGGCTCGACCCAGATGGCCAGAGCTGTCGATCTAAGGACTTTATATTTTATTCTGGGGGCAACAGGGTGACATTTAAAGTTACAGAGAAAAGGACGGCTATGGTAATATTAGGAAGACTAATTCAATATTATCATGAACAATGTTGTAAAGAATGTATTGGAAAAAAGTGAGACAGGAGACCAGAAGACCAGTAAAGAAGCTATTGCTATAGAGGTCATAAAAACCTGACCGGGGTGGTACAAGTGTGAATGGAGAACAGAAGTAGAAGGGACAAAACTTGGCAACTAAACTGATATTAGTGGATAAGAATGAAGAGTCAAATGACTCTGGAGGACTAAGCTATCAAAAGAAATAAGGAAGTTGGGAGGAAGGTCAGATTTCTGGGGAGAAATTTGGGGCATATGAAGTTTTGAGATACTAACAGAATCCAAGAGAATCTTCCAGTCATCACAGGTAGCAAAGTGGTATTGGAGCTCAGGGGGAATATGGTGGCTGCCAAAATTCCAGAGTCACCTATGAAGAATCAATGTCATAGAGGTAATAACTGAACTAAATGGAGTGAATGAAATTGCCAAAAGAGAAATGACAGAGACAGACAGAGCCTTAGAGCCTTGGGAGACACCCACACTAAGCAGGCAAAAGGAGGGAGATTAACTAGTGAAGGCAATGTAATGATAAATTTTGTAATCATAGTCTCATTATCTTCAAACCCTAAGAACTATATTTATTTTTAATACTTTTAAATTTAAAAACTAAAATTATGACCATTTGCCATATAACCCTATTCCATATTATGACAACCACTTTTGACTACTTAGTTAAAAAAACAAACAAAAACCAGTTAACACCTGAGTTCTAGTCCCAGTTCTTCCTCCAATTAGCTATGTGTACTTGGACAATTTACTTTTCTTTTGTGGGCCTGCCTCAGTCCCCTCACCTGTAAAATAAGAGTCCTGAAACTATATGACCTACAAATTCCTTCTCAGTTAAGCAATTCTTTGGATCTAGTATATCTGAGTTTCACAAATGAAAGCTTCATAATTAATTGAGGTTTCTATTAAAAGTTTCCTCTAACTCTGTCATATATAAACATTTATTAAGTACCTACTATGTGGCAAATACTATGCTAAACACTAGGGATACAAAAAGGGGCAAAAAGACAGACCCTGCCCTCAAGAAACCTTTGCTCTGCGTGTGCATGCATGCACATGCATGTGTGTGTATATCTGTAATGCACACATATGCACACAAGTATATATAAATGTGTACATATGTAGGTATATGTATGTGTTTATATATGTATTTGTGTGTATATATGTGTGTGTGCAAGTGTATGTGTATGTGTATGTGTACATATATATGAGAGATCTCAAAAGATAAAGAAAATACGGAATTGCTAGGGGAAAGTCAAGGTTTCTCCTTCCAAGTCAAAGTTGGGAAAAAACAAAAAAACCACACACACAAAATACTGCTCATTATCTTCCTGAATTGAAAATTTCTCCATCCAAGGAAATCTTCCTACGGGGTCTTTATTCAACCACAGACTGCTGTAATCAATATTAATTGATAGCTGCTCTTTATTGCTATCTACTCACAAGACCGTAAGCTTTATGAAAGGAGGCTTCATTTTAATACCCAATGACTTGCCAAGAGGCACTCAGTAAAACGCTTGCTGGAGAAATGGTCACTGTAGTCTCTCCCTGAGTTGCAATACTTAATAGTAGTCAATTCCTTTATGCTTACATACACTGATACACTGTCTTCACCATTCTCATACTTCAGAAGCTTCTGGGTCCCCTTATATGCTTCCCACTTTTAGCTTACTGGAAGCAATTCTAATCCGCTCTTACTGTCTGTGTCTTTGATGACCATGGCAAGGAGTGTTTTGAGAAGGTTATAAGAAAAAGTAATAGGCAGGTTCTGTCCAGACAGGTTGGTTGATACAGGGTGCACAGAGCAGATGATTGAAGGCAATTCTATTACTGTGTGGCAGGTGAGAGACTATTATATTAGGTGGAAGAAGAGAGATGAAGATCTTTGAAGATGGGTCCAACGACACAAAGTGAAGGGGCTGGTCATGCCTGACATGAAACTTTGCAATGTGTTTTCAAAGGCTCATTGTGATTTTTCTCCCTTTGCCTTTTGAAAATACAGGGTCTGTTGGCTGGAAGATCAGTGATGGAAAGTGAGCTGGTACTTGGATATCTGTAGTGAATGAAAGTTTTAGGTGCTAGAAGGATAATGATGGAAAAGGAAGAAAATAGGCTCTACAGGACAGAATCCTAGTGCAAATTTCATTCAGCTAATGGAGAGAGAAGAGGCTGATGGAAAGAGGTCACTCATGAGATACTAGTGCCATACATTCATCAGTACGAATAGGCCAAAGATAAAGGTTACACCAGCCAGCTCAAACAACCATTGTCACCAGAACTACCAACAGCATACAATAAATGAAAAAGGAAAGGAAATCAGCAATTTAAATACCCTCTTTAAACACTTAACCCTGTCTCTTTCTCTCACAAACACACAAAATGCTCACACAAAGAAGACAGATGTATCCAAGGACACATGACCCAGTTGTTCACATATTAACAATGACAGCTAACATTTATAAAGTGCTCACATACAGGCACTGAGCTGAGAGCTTAACAATTATTATCTCACTTGAGGTATATCCCTAAATATTTAAAATATTGGCCTCGTGGGTGGAAGGGGGAAGCAGAATCATGCAGCCAATCACAGGACCATAGGTTCAGAGTTGGAAAGGACCTAAGCAGTGTTAACATAGGCTCTGCAACGACTATACTATATGTTAGAACTACCCTTCACGGAGGAGTAGAACAATGGAGTTACACCACAACCAGCCGACCAGAAAGATCTCTGATGCTCAGAGCCGCTTGACACACCAGTGATTCTTTGCGAGTGAACTCTAGCCGAATTTGGAGATGCCTGTAGCTGCCAGGAACCACAGAACCAGCCTTGATCAGCTGCAGACTTGAGACCTTGCTCCAGAGTTTCTAAACGTTCTACTGCCTGGTTTATTGTGTCTACAGATGTCTTCTCCCTTAACCCCTGTTCTCTCCCCCCCAACCGCCACCAAAGCCTCTAGAAACTATAATATCTCACCCTTTTTCACTTCCCTTTGGAGCAGCGGAGAACTCTCTCTCCTTCTTTGCTCCTTTGTAGGATATTCTCTCCCCTACAAGATTTTTCTCAGACAATTAATGCTTTTAATTGGTGCATCAGACTCTGTTTCATTTCAGGTCCCTTTATGGGTCCGGGGGGGGAGAGGGAGGCGGTCTTTTGCTAACGGCAGCCATCGAGTACAACGCTCTCATTGAGAAGTGAAGGGACAGGTCACAACAGGCCACATTGCTAGTGAGTGTCTGAGGTGTGATCTGAACCCAGGTTTTCCTGACTACAAATGCAGAGCTCTATCCACTATTCCATACTGCTTCTAAACAGCAACAAATACAGCAAATGGGGGGAAAAATTAAGTAGATAATTTTCTCCCTAACAACTGCCTCAATTCTCTGCTTCTCCAACAAGTACAAACAACAGTAACACCAACAACGATGATGATAATAATAGCAACAGCTAACATTTATATAGAGCTTATTATGTGCCAGGCACTGTGCTAAGTGCTTTATAATTATTACCTCATTTGATCCCCCCAACAACCCTCAGTGTTATTATAATCACTATTTTTATAGATGAGGAAACTGAGACAAAGAGATGAAGTGACCTGCCCAGGATCACACAGCTAGTAAATATCGAATTTGAACTCAGGTTTTCCTGACTCCAGGCCCAGTGCTCTATCTACTAAACCACCTAGCTGCCCAGAAATATAGCTGATTACTTTTATAACAATACCATTTAACCTCTTCTTAAATGACTCAGTCTGCGTAATATATAAAGAAAAGTAACCATTCATTATAAATAAAAAAATGAACTAATGAAAAATTATTTATGAAGTACTAAGTGCAAAGTACTATTCTAAGGGGGATAGAACAACAACAACAAAAAAAAACAAACCCAGTTCTTACTCTCAAGGAGCTCAGATTCTAACAGGGAAGACAAAATACGAAGATTTCAGCAGCAAGTCAGATGGAGAGATTCTATGGTCCTTAAGATGCAGGAGCAAAGTAGACGGCGATGCATCTTCCTTAATGTTATTTCCAGTAACAAAATCTCATCAGTTTCTGATAGTAAACCATTTGACAGTGCCAAATACTTTGGAAGGAAGAAATTTCTCTTCAGTAACGGTGGTTGTAGAAGCAGTTTCTAGGCCCCATCCCTACAGCAGTCCTGGAATGATGGTGGCTGAGACTATAACTGAAGTAGGACTATTTAAAATATGTGACTATTACAAAAATCCAAATTAACTCTAAAGGACACATGAAGAAAGACGCTATCCGCATCCAGAGAAAGAACCGATAAACAGAAGTGCGTATAGAATAATTTTACATATATAAACATATACACATATATACATACGCAAATATACACTTATTCATGTCTAATTATAACCATCTCTAGGCTGGGAGGAGGGAAGAAAAAGAAAAGAAATTCACACAACAATTTTATTACATATTTAAAGGGAATAGCAAGCTGTACATAATAGATTTGCAATGTTGCATGTACAACCATATTTTTTATTATACTATGTTATGAAAATGCTTGTTCCATAAATTAAAAATAAAATATATTTTAAAAAAAATAAAGGGTAGGCTGCTATCTACATGGGTGTTTAAAAAACAAAACAAAACTGAAGTAGGCCTGAAGGTTCGCTGCCACTCCAAGGGTAACTGGGCTGACCTGCTCACCAATGACAGTCAGTCAGTAACTGCTGTTGGTGAGAAGGAAGAAGGCAGGCTGTATTCAGCTGTGATCACAGAAGAAACACTGAAGAACTAAAGATAAGTCGGGCAAAGGTGACCAGGTTGGCCAAGATTTCTGGAAATCACACCCTAAAGCCAGAAGGTCAAGCCTCCTAAATAACCTCTATGACCTGTGTCCTCACACACAAAAGGGGGATGCTGATGTAAGTCTCTGAAGTCCCATCCGGGCCTCATTCTATGACCCCTATGATCCCATGAAGTAGAATTATTTAGACTGGAGAACAGACATGCTGTCTGCAAGAAGTCTTTCTCACCTTCCTTCATCTTAGCACCTTCCCTCCAAGACTATCCGCATTTCACCCTGCCTCTATCTTAGTCATTTACTATCTTATTGTTATCTATCTTAGTACACATTCATTTGCATGTTGTCCCCCCATTAGACTTTGAGGTCTTTGAAAGCAAGGACTGGGTTGTTGTTGTTTTTTCCCTTCTTTCTACACCCCAGTGCTTAGTGCAATGCCTGCCACATAGCAGACATTAAATGAGACCAATGTATAGAAGTTACAGAAAGGCAGATTTCAAGGCCAGCATAGACAAGGGCTTGCTAATAATCATAGATGTCTAAGAGAAGAATGGGGATGCTCTAAAAAAGAGTGAGCTCCCTGTCATTTCAAGTGTTCCAAATGAAGACAGAAAGGTGAGAGCTATCAGGCATGGGGTTGAGCAAGAGTTCTTAACCTGGGGGGGGGGGTCCGTGAACTTAAAAAAAAAATTTGGTATCTATATTTCAATACAGTTAGATTCCTTCTCAATCTTGTGTATTTTGCTTGATGCATATAGAAGCATTATTTTGAGACAGGGTCCATACACGCTTAACCAGATGCCAGAGGAGTCCACGCAAAAAAGTGAAGAACTCCCGTGGCAGAGTATATTCCTGCAGGGGATAAGAAAGCTGGACAAGGTCATCTCAGAGTCACTTCCCAACTCTCAGGTCCTAGCATTCAAGGCTTCAGGTGAAAAGAAGCAGAGTACCTGGCAAAGGGAGATGTTTTCATACGGCTTTGCCTGCTCCTGCAATCGAGCCTTGGCTTCTCTTTTGTCCCCATGCACAAGCAAGATGGGCTTCTTCCTGGAAAGAGATCAGAAACACCTGGCATTAACCCCCTGAAACTGAACTGGTTGCACCAGAGACGAGGAGTATGTCACAGCTTGGAGGAATGCGCTTCTGGTCTGTATCTCTTCCTCTGTGAGACAGCGTCTGAGCACAGTGCTCTAAACAGAGACCTTCTTCAGGAGTTCAAAAGCTCAGCAAGTTCACTGGTAGGGATGCTCCCTCCCCCAAGAAGGACTGCAACCCCCTCAATGCCTCAGTACAGAGCAAGGGTTCTTAATCCTAGATCTGGAAACCTGGTTTTAAAAAAATTAGTCTGACAACTATATTTCAATATAACTTGTTTCCTTGGTAATTCTATGTATTTTATTTAAGCATTATTCTCAGATGGGGGCTTCTAGGCTTCCCCAGACTACCAAAGGGGTCCATGATACAGAAAAAAAAAAAGTTAAGAACATTGGTAGATGGTCTTCATTACTTGCTGTGGTCAGAAAAACTCAGCGCCTGATGGCCAACTTTCTGGTGATATGCCTCTTAGCTACACAGATCCTCAGATGGTCTATAATCCATCATCTACTAGAGCTGGGTAGGACAGAGCTTACACCTACCTGGTAGAGCCTTCAAGAACCCAGGACTACCAACCATGATTTCAAGACTGAGGAGGAAACACATCTCCCATCTCTTGCTGGAAGGAAGGCTTAGAGGTATGGAATCAGATATATGCATTCGCAGATACGTATGGACAATGTGTTGACTTACTAAAGGAGGACTTCTATGAGGGAGAAGATTTACTGAGTGGTTTTGCTGCTGTTGTTATTAAGTCATTTCAGTAATGTCCAACTCTTTTTATGATCCTATTTGGGGTTCTCCCGGCAAAGATACTGGAGTGGTTTGCCATTTTTCTTCTCCAGCTCATTTTTCAGATGAGAAAACCGAGGCAAACAGGGTTAAGTGACTCGCCCAGGGTCACATAGTCAGTAAGTGTCTGAGGCCAGATTTGAACTCACCTACCTGCCCCAATATTTCTACTGCATTACATCTCAAAAAGACAGACCATGACATAGATGAAAGAGAGTCAGCTCATGGTGTTGGGAACCCTTAAGTTCCAAGTCATGTGGCTGAAACATAGTCTGGCTGGCTTTATGAAATCACTTAAATGATTAGTGCCCCAGGTAATTCTCTAAGATAGGTTTCTTAACAGGTGCACAGATATAGGGGTCTGCATTAATAGAGGGAGTTTCCTCATTGGGAGCTCTTTATTTCAAAGGCACACACACACCCCTACACATACATATTATTCAAATACTCATTTTTACACTGAATGCCAACTTTTTCCTTCCCTTTTTTAAACTAAGGCAATGCATTTAGCACAACATGGTGGGAAGAACAATAGACTGAGAAACAGGAGACTTGGGCTTAAGTCCCAATTGAGTCACAAATTTATCATCTGTAAACTAAGGCTGGTAAGCTGGCACTGCACACTCACAGGGTTGTGATAAGGACCAAGTAACACATACAAGTACGATATGTGTATATGTATGTATGTATACACACATATATACACGTTGTATATACATGTGTATATACACGTTGTATATACATGTGTATATACACGTGTGTGTATGTATGTATATACGTGTAGCACTTAACCTGAGAGAGCTACAGAAATGTTAAACGCTGTTGCTGTTGTCATTATGATCATTATTTCACTGGAGGAAAAACTTCCTTATGTTAATTATTCAAAAGTAGGATGAATGCCCTTCTTCTGAACACAGTGGGCTCCTTGCCATTCTGAAGGTCTTGAGGCAGAGACTGGATGACCACTTGCTAGGCATGAAATCAAAAAGCTTCTTGGTAAAGTAAGGGTTGGACTGGAAGACCTCTGAGAGTCTTTTCAGTTATGAAATTCTGAGCATATGAAAACTATTTTTCTGCCTATATGAAAACACCGAATCCAGTTAGCCTACAGTTCTTAACTATCTCCCTGCCAATTATTTTTAATCTACTCTCCTCAACCCCAGTTGCTATGAGATCCTATCATGTGAAAACAGGCTAAAGTCAGGTTTAGCAAGGTTCTGTGTCCTTGAGTGATACTATACAATATATTCTTCATCATATTCTTTTTTTTCCCTTTTTTTCTTTTTAGGCAATTGGGATTAAGTGACTTGCCCAGGGTCACACAGCTAGTAAGTATTATGTGTCTGAGGCCAGATTTGAACTCAGGTCCTCCTGAATCCAGGGCCGGTGCTCTATCCACTGCACAACTTAGCTGCCCCTCTGCATCACATTCTTGAACGTGAAAGATTCAAAGATGAGAATGGAAACATAAAAATGGCACCATAAGTAAGGCACCAAACCCTTAAGTAAAACAAGACTGTGATCAAAGGAAAGAATTTCAATGACAGAAAAGTGCACTAAAAATTTAACAAGCTGGATGTGTTTTAGCAAGCTTTTAGATTTAGAATAGATGAATATACATAAAGACAATCACTTTCCTTCCTAAATACTCCTTCAGACCACAATTGTACACCAATCACCTTCTGACATTTGGATTAGAATTCATCCTTATCTATTTCTGGAGAGACCACAAAGGAAGAAGAGAGGTCACACACAGTGTGGGCAATCCCAACTACCCCATATATTACCCCTTAGATAAGGGAAGCCACCTGTCCTATCTGGACCTCTCTAAAATGAAGGGGCTGGATTAGATGATCCCTAGTGTTCTCTTAGGCTACAAAAGCTTTCAATTCTTAAAATGTCAAAATCTATAGAAGGAATAAAGTGAATAATAAAAGTTTCTCAAAACTCCTACTTTGTTGGGTCAGAAGATATCATTCAAAATAAAAAAGACGGATGGGATTCATATTGGCAGAAATATAATATTTTTAAAAATCATTACACTTCATAATTTTCATGAAACTTACCTGAACTCTAGTGGGTACTGTCTTACAAGCCAGGCCACATCAAAGCAGTAGTTAAACTGAGGAGGAGGCAAGAAAAATAACAGTAAGTTACCAATACTTCGGTCAACTTCTCTATGCAGAGAAAGGTTTAGTCATCAAGCTGAAACATTAAGTTAACCAATTGGTATGAGTTTACAGTATGCCAAGTTATTATGGACCACAATTTACATAGGCTTATTAGTTAACTTGTAATCATTGAAATAGATGGATATTGACTTAATGTAATATGAGTAATGGCAAAGAATTCATGAGACTCACATTTAATACCAATTTTATTTGCATCACTGCAACAGTCCCGAGACAAAAGTCACTTTCTTTGGGACTCATATTTCCTTTCTATAAATAAAACTGGCCAGTATTTGGTCAATTTGGAGGGAAAGTTTTACACAATTAATTATAGTTGTAAATGCCCTTGAATCATTTATGACAAGAGCAAATGAGACTTTTTAATACCGAACCACAAGATCAGAAATCCTGATATGTGCAAGATGCATTAATTTTTTTTCTAATTACAAATACAGATTGAGTCAAATCCACAAGCATGATACCTGGGGACAGTCATTTATACAGCTATAGTGGTAGGCAGGGTAGGCCTACCAGTTCATGTGAGCTAGCTAAGTAGGTAAAAATTTTGTTAAACATTCCAGTCTGAGCCACAGGCCAAAATAAAACGGGTATGGTTATCTGGAATTGGAAAGAGAAGGTATTTCAACAAGAGGATGATCAAATGTATTACTTTTCATCAGACAAAAATCTCAAGCCTATTCTGAAGATCTAAAAAGGTCCTTCTGAGCAGGAATAGTTTTATTCTCCATATTTATATCCCCAGAGCACCCAAAACACCTGGCATATAGTAGGTGCTTAATAAATGTATGCTGATTGACTGACTTAAATCTAAAGATCTATGAGCCAGCAGAATCTGGTTCCCATTCTCAGTAGTCTTGGCTTGCAAAATTCTGCTGGGCTGACAAAAATTACTCAGATCCCCATTCACACTTGACAACATAGTTTCCTTCCTACCTGTTTTTGTAACTACCCTCCTTTTTTCTGCCCAATAACCACATGGATTCCCATTTCTGTGGCCCATTTTGGCTTTTAAGAGCCCTGTTTATTTTCACACACAACAAAGATGGATTTTTACAACAATGTAATTGTGATTTACAGCACCAGAAAATGAATTTAAATCCAGATGAGATCTGGCCTGGGATAATAACTCACATCTATAGTGCTTTCAGTTTTACAAAGCATTTCCCATTTTACAGATGAAGAAACTGAGGCTCAGAAGGGCAAATGGTTTTCCCAGTCACACAGCTATTACATGCCCAAACTAGGACAGGAACCCAAGTCTGAAAGTCAAGGGTTCCTTTGACTATACTAATATAAATGCTTCTAAGCATTATAGATAATTACTAATATTTGGGTTACATAACAAAAAAATAATAGATTCATAATAGATAGATACATAATAAAACATAATAAAAGCTAATAGAGCCTGGGGCAAACTATATGAAGTTCTCTGACACTGTGAGGCCTTCCCATATAAACAAGCACATTTATACAAAGGAGAGGGAGGAAGGTGATTGGGATGGAAATTTACCAGCTGATAGGGAAGGTAAGAGTTTGGCAGGTTTTGTTTGTTTGCTTGATTTAAAATTGACTACACCTCTACTTCTCATTGCTCTCCCCTTGGTGTTACTGATATGTCAATAACAGGCCAAGGGCCAATTATCTGATCTCTCAGAGACCTCTCAGTCTCAGTTTCCTCATCAATGAAATGGGACTACCTAATCAACATTGCCTCCCGGAGAAAACAATTTCTTAATTCACACCAATGAATGACTGTAAACTTTCACGTATCATCTGAACGGGAACTGAGTTTAATTCTGGGAAAGGATGAAAGTCTTAAGGAACCAGACAAAGTCTTAGCAAGGCCTTAGAAGAACTACATATATTTATGTATAATTAATTTATAGTATCCTAAGGAAAACTATGTCAGTTATATAGTTTGTCAATCCTAAAGTAGACAAAAAGAGCCCTATTGCAGGAAAGATTACTTCGTATTCCTAATTCCCAGCTACTCTTACTTTTGAGGCAATTAGGTGACACAGTGGATGGAGCACTATGCATGGAGTCAGGAAGAGCTGAGATCAGATCTAGCCTCAGACACTTACTAGCTGTGTGACACTGGGCAAGTCACTTGACTGCTGTTTGCCTCAGCTTCCTTATCTGTAAAATGGAAATAATAGCACTCCCAAGGTTGTTGTGAAGATCAAAGACGATAATTATAAAGTATTTAGCACAGTGCCTCCTACACAGTAAGTTCCATGTAAATGTTAACTATCATTACTATTATTATTATTTCCATTTCATGTGGAAATGGATTGGAGGCTTTTAATAGTCTCTGAACAATTTAAAATGAAAAGCAGTTTAATCACTTCAATTAATCACTAAGGTGGCTAGATGGTGCAGTGTATGGAGAGCTGGGCCTAAACTTAAGAAAAACAGAATTCAAATCCAGCCTCAATAGCTGTGTGACTCTGGGCAAGTCACTTAAATCTATCTGCCTCAGTTTCCTCATCTGTAAAATGGAAATAATAATAGCACCTACCTCCTAGTGTTGTGAGGACCAAACGAGAAAATGCTTTGCAAACCTCAAATTTGTGCTGTTTGAATGCTAGATTAAAAAAAATAATAAACTCACCTGAGCTGAAGACAACAGTGTCCCAAAGAGAGGAGATAAAATATCTATCAAGAAAATACATACATGAACCAAAGTTACAAAGACTTAAGACACAATAAACTTCCAATAAATTTTCAGCAGTCATTATGTAATTAAATATATATCAGTCACTAACATAGCTAAAAGTTGATTTAAAACACTCTAGAGTTTTCAAAAAAGTCAAGAATTTAATGTTTTCTAATTATGTTTTCTCTCCTTTCCAGTCACTCCATCCTAATGCATAAGTCTAACCTCACCATTTTTCTATTCAAAGACATCCAGTGGCTCCCTATTACCTTTCACACTGAAAATCCCAGGTAGACAAGGAGTGCATCATTTTGCTTATTTGTCCATTGAGGGCCAAGCTCAGTGACTGGCACATAACAAATGTTTAATAAGTGTTTAGTGAACTGCCTACAGATTAAAATACAAATGATGTTGCCTGCAATTCACAGGTAAGAAGCCAATCTATCTTTCCAACCTCGTCTCTCACAAACCCCCTTTGTATATTCTATTTTCTAGGTAAACTGAGTTACTTGCTATTTCCCAATTTCTTTCTGAGCTTTCTCACTCACTTCTATATTTTTGCCCCATGTCTAGTAGACAATTACCCCTAGGAACACGTTGGCCTACAGAAATTCTTCTCTTCCTTCAAGGCCCAGTTCAGTTACTATCTCCTCTATGAGAAGTGGTCATCCCCGCCCCCCACCTCAACTAGAATCTCTTCCTTCACAAATTTTTCATATAGCGTTCTCCTCTCCTGTGCACTTACATTATAATTTGCATTAGACTTATTTGTGTTTTGTGCACTAAACCAGGGGTGAAAAACCTGTGGTCTCAAGGCCACGTGTGGCCTTCTCGGTCATTGAGTGCGGCCTTTTGACTGAGTCCAAGTTTTATAGGACAAATCCTTTTATTAAGGAGATTTATTCTGTGAAGTTTGGATTCAGTCAAAGGGTCACTACTTGAGGCCCGAAAGGGCCGAATATGGCCTCAAGGCTGCAGGTTCCTCATCCCTGCACTAGACCATTAAATTCCTTGAGAACAAAGACTGTGTTGTCTTTCATCTTCGTGACTTTACCACTTTACAAATAATAGGACCTCAATAAGTGTCTACTGAACTGACCTGAATTATATTTCCTTTCCTATGTGCTACATGATAATGACAAAAACAATAATGATGATATATGTTGGTGTGAATAATGAGTCTCCTGGAGTGGTCTCATAATTCGAATTTGCACTGCATAAATCCATTGGGCTAAAACCAATGACCATATTTTGCATAATTATTAACTTCAATTCGAATCTATAGGACCACTATTTCATAGCTGTTCATGATTTGCACTAACGAGGACCAGTCTGTAGCACCTACCTTCCAAGGTCACTGTGAGGACAAAATGAGTTATTATATGTACAGTACTTGGCAAACCTTAAAATAATATGTATATGCTAGTTATTATTATAACTAGTGATATTATATATTTAATCTTTAATATATATTATCTTACAGAATAGGGACTTAAGAGAATACACAAACTAAAAGTAAAATGTATGCCTTTAATCATCAGGCATATCAGCCTTTTAAGCAAAATGTGTATCTTTTATTTGGAAAGTCAGTTTGAGAGAAACCCTCAACACAAAACTGAATAATGATGCATTGGCAAAATTACTGATTTCGGAGTAAAAGAATACAGATTCAAGTCTTGACCCAGCTACTCACTAACTCTGTGACTTTGGACAAGATACTTAATTCTCAGAGTATCAGTTTCCTCATCTGTAAAATGAGCACAAAAATACTTACCGTACTACTTCACAATGTTCTTATGAGGATCACACAAAATAATGCACATAAAAAGCTCACTGATAAACCAGGACTAAATGAGATAATGCCCATCAAGTGCCTGGTAAATGTTAAGAGTCAGATTTCTAGAGGCAGCTAGGTGACCCAGTGGATACAGCACCAGCCCCGGAGTTAGGAGAACCTGAGTTCAAATCTGACCTCAATCACAGCCGTGTGACCCTGGGAAAGTCACTTAACCCTGATTGCCTCGGGGGAAGGAGGAAGTAAAATATCTATAAATATCAGATATACAGGAAAAATAATACCTGATCTTGTAAGAATAGGACACCAAGATACCAATACAGAGCATCTCTAAGAACTGAAGTCAGAAGATTGATATGAAATCTTCCATTCGGCATACTCAGAAAGATCAATCTTTGATTTGAAACTAAAGTCACTATTTATTGAGGTGATCACTTCTGCAGCTTTCCCTCTTTGCAAAAGAAAGGAAAAAAGATACTTCCCATAGTCAAGTTTCTGCCCACTGCCAGAAAACTGGCATTTGAACATTTGAATATTTGCACTAAAGGGTAGGGGGTGGGGAGGAATCCTACAGTGGGAAAAAGAGGAGGCTAAGAATAACCAACTTCTGTCTAGTCATGTCCAACTCTTTGTGACCCCTTTTGGGGTTTTCTTAGCAAAGAAATGGAGTGGTTTGCCATTTTCTTCTTCAGTTCATTGTACAGATAAGGAAACCGAGGCAGACAGGGTAAAGTGACTTGCCCAGGGTCACACAGCTAGTAAATGTCTGAGGCCAGATCTGAACTCGGGAAGATGAGTCTTCCTGACTCCACTTCCTGCATTTTATCCACTGTGCCACCTAGCTGCCCTCTGAGTCAGATTGGTTAGTCATTTTTTCAGTTGTGTCTAACTCTTCCTGACCCCTTTTGGGATTTTCTTGGCAAAGATACTGGGGTGGTTTGCCATTTCCTTCTCCAGCTCATTTTACAGATGAGGAAACTGAGGCAAACAGGGTGAAGTGACTTGCCCAGGATCATACAGCTAGTTAGTGTCTGAGGCTGGATTTGAACTCAGTAAGAGAAGTTTTCCTGATTCGAGGCTTGGTATTCTATCCACTGTGCCACAGAGCTGCCCTTTGAGTAAGTCCTACATTCAAAATCCTTGGCCTGCTACTTCCTTTCTGTGTAATCTTGGAAAAACCAATTGTCTCTCTGGATCTGAGTTTCCTCATCTACAAATGAAACAGTTGGATGGGAAAGCCTGTGAGGCCTCTTCCAGGTCTCAACATATGATTATCTGGAACACAAGAATGACAAGGTAGCCAATGACGACACAGGCATACTCTGCTTAATGTCTACCGTAATCAACATTAATATATTAAAAGCATTAATACATTATCACAAGACCTTGCCATAATGTCACTATCTTCAAAGCTAACTGCAGAAGTGCAAATGATTATAACACTGGTCTTTTGGAGCTACCTGCTCTGATAATGTTTCTCAAAGTCTTTTCTCTTAAACAACAATAAGCTTAGCTGGCGTGATCCTGTACTAGTGTTGCTGCTAACATTTCATCTGAATAAAAAGTTAGCCAATTCCAGCCCGTTACCCTGTTGTGATTAAGTATTAACTAAGTTCTGTAAACTAGGGATTGATTGATGATATTTTGAGAAATATCTCTTTATCTCAGGGTTTCTACTTAAAACTCCTCTTTTAAATTAGCACAGTGTGTGTGTGTGTGTGTGTGTGTGTGTTGTTGTTGTTGTTGTTTTGCTGAAAGAATCCCAGTTATTCCCTATTTCAAGCACCCTTTACCTTTAATGTGGAGCGCTCCCAAGTTATACTTCGGCATAATTCCTGAGACTCTCGTGAGATAAAATCTGAACAGGTTCTTTTCATCCAAAAGGTCCCAAGGTTCTTGGGCTTCATCTGAAGTCTCATAGTCCTCTTCGGTCTTTGGGATGACAGGAGGCTGGCAATCTCTGGGACTGTATTTAGATGGTTCTTTCAGAGATGTACATTTTTCCTCTTTGACTGTCCCTTTCCCCGGTTGCCTAGATTGGCCTTTTGGGTGGGACTCTTCCTCATCGCTACTCGACAGGCCCCAGCCTAAATCTTCCTGGGAACTCTTCTGCCTTTTAAGGGATGAGATTTTGGAAGTTGAATTTTTACTGTCAAATTTCACTGGTGATAATTTCCTTCGGTAAGCAGCTTTCCGGGCATCAGAACATGTGTACCCCGGATCATTCAGCACATCTTGCCCAAAACTGGGCAGAGAAGAGGTAGAAGGTTTCTCAATGGGTGTTTTTTCATTTTCACTTTCATCACTGCTGGAAACAGTCCACCTCCCATAACTGCTTTCCTGAGTCATGTTTCTGCTAAATAAAAAAGTATCATTTTTCATATTCAGTTATAGGTTGTTTGTAAGAAAACTTCTGATCTCAACCTACCCTCCCAAGCAAAAAGTGGTCCTAAAATAATTATTGTACAACTAGGTCCCAATAAGCAAAAATTACAAATCCTGTGCAGTTGTCACAAGTATCTGAATTCAAACTATTAGAAATTATCATTATTATGTAAAACATGGTCACTAGGGTTCCAAACCAATGGAAATATGCAGTGCAGATTCAAGTAATGAAATTGCCGCTTGGGATTCATTATTCTCACTAATCGGGGCCTAGGAAAAAGGAAGGAAAGAAGCATTTATTATGCATGCGCCTACTATGTGCCAGGCACTTTACAAATATCTCAGCTGATCCTCATAATAACCCTGGGAGATAGATGCTATTAGTACCCCTCTTTTATAGTTGAGGAAACTGAGACAGAGTGACCTGCCTAAGGTCGATGAGCTAGAAAGTATCTGAGGCCAAACTTGAACTCAGGTCTTCCTGACTCAAGGCCCAACACCCCATCCACTGTACCACCCAACTAACAAGCTGTATATATCACTCTTGTAAAACTTCAATATAATTCAAATAGTATTTATTAAGTTCTCTTACGTGCAAAGCCCTTGCTAGGTGCCAGAGATACAACAATAGCCATAATACAGACCCCGCTCTCAAGGTCTTTATAATCTAATGATAAGTCACTCAGTCAGCTAACGATCAACAGGTGTTTATTTCATCACCTACCACGTACCAGGCACTGTACTAAGCACCAGAGACACAAAAAAAGGCAAACAACAAAAACAAACAAAACACAATACAGTTCCTACTCTCAAGGAGCTCACAATCTAATGAGAGAGTCGGGGCAGGATGAATATACTCACTTACACAACTGCCTTCTATTTGGAGTTCTCTTTTCACATCTCACAAGGCTCAGATTCAGAAGACTGGCCAGTTCTAAACCCCTTTCTGCTGCGAACG